CATTATTTTTCATGTAACTTTTATTTGTATAAACACTGAGGATGGTCGTAAAGACGAGCCGAAACGTTTGTTTTGTAAAAATTCAACAATTAATAATTATATGAGCAATTGAGAATTATATTAGCTCGGGCTTATTCAGCTTTCTTTCCTTTTCATTTGTTAACAAAAAAAAGTTTTATAAAATTAATGTATTTCGACGACGTGTATATATGTAATAAAACAATGAAAATAAAAATTCTTACTGCACGCAATTATTTTAAGGTTATATAGTATAATAATTCAACCGTACTTACATTCAATATAAATTGTCCGTTTTTATATATTGCAGTGGCACAGAACATACAAACGTGACTGCTCGGTAGAACACACTATACCACACTATACGAAATGAATCGGAAGAAGCATTTTGCGCTTTACACATGTAAAATGTAAGAAACGTTTTTCGCTTGTACTCGCGGAGGTCGCACGCAGTGATGCGATCTTTCCCACAGCGGTCCCGACTCGGCTGTGCTCGGCTGCCTCACACAACCTTACAGAAGCGCTACGTCACGTATCCGTGTGCACACAGATACGTGACGTAGCGCTTCTGTAAAGTTGTGTGAGGCAGCCGAGCACAGCCGAGCCGGGACCGCTGTGGGAAAGATCGCATCACTGTCGCACAGTAACAAATGATCTAATAGCTCCATCTGGTCGAAATCAAAATAAATAATATACTTCCTCATGAATTCTCGAAGTATTCAAAATACTGAATCGCAAAGTATTCATTATAAGGAATTCTTGGGGAATATTTCAAGACAACTAATTGCAGTTAATTCTTTTAGAATTCTTCAGGTATTCATTTTTCTAATTCTGTATGACTTCTTTAAAATGAATTCTTTATGAACTTCTATTCATCTCTGTGCTATCTGGGTACATTCTGGTTGCATACTAAACAAATCATTGGGCTTGTTCGTTTTAGCTACACTGGGGCTGCTCTGGTTCTGCTCTACACAGGATAATACAGGACAGATAAATAGTTTGTCCTGTATTATCTTGTTTAGAGCAGACCCAGAGCTGCCCCAGTGCAGCTAAAACGACAAGCCCA